GTGGGGGAGAGGCTGGTGGGACCCCCCATAGCTCTCAGTAAGAAACAGCTCTGTGGACCCCCCCTTCCCCCGAGCCAGCATCAGAGTCCTACTGAGTAAAGGAACATTCCATCAATGTTTGGAACTCATCCACGATCCACAGCAGGAGAGTAAGCTGTGAAACCAGAGAGCCGCCGCCTGGGTCTCAGCGCTTAGACCCAACGGTATTAGTACACGCGTCACCTCTCTGCGTACATGTGAGAGACCAATGGAGCCTCCGCTGCTCATCACAGGGCATTCTGCACGCTCGGGGCGGTTACAGCGAGGGAGGGGAGGGAGCGGATGGAGGAAAAGTAGCGGGGACGTCAGCGGTGTGGGTGGGGGACAATTAGGTTTCGACACTCACAATGGCGCCTGGTCTCTGGGGAGGTGCGCCACCTGACACCTGGCAGCAGAACTTCGCTCTCACTTGGACAGCTACGGAAGAAGCCTCCCAAGGAAACTCCCAACACAGAGGGCACACGCGTGGAGCTGTGAACAGAGGTAGCTGCCGGGCACGCGGCCACTGCCCCATCCTGTCGACACTCCCAGTATGTGGACATAGAGGTCCCTGGCCAGACGTCCGGTGCACCGTGGGCCAGCGCCACTTCCTGGCTCAGGACAGACCGACGCCTACGCACCGAGCAGATGGTTCCCGTGGGCGCTCTCGCGCCCTGGATCCTGGCACTAGAAAGCTGATCCGGGCCCGGCCAGAACCACAGCTTCCCTTCAAGACCCACGTGGCTGGACCGTCTGAGCACCTCTGGAGTACTTCCAGGCCCCGCCTCCTGCCCCACAGCTCTGGTTCGGGCCTCACTTTCAAATCCCTTGGTCTTCCCCTCTGTTCTGCCTCTTTACCGATCTGGGTTTTCTCTCACCTGTGAGCATCACCTCTCAGCTTATCCTTGCCCCCAGCACAGTGTCATGCATTTCCCAGGGGCCTGGTCCCTGCCTTCCCCGACAAACTCCTACTCGCCCCCTTAAACCTGAGTTTATGCAGTGTCTTGGAAACGCCTCCTCAGGAAGAACGGGAAAATCATGTCCCTGCCTCCGCGTTTGCACGAGAGTCTCGCCGCTGGGTGCTCAGT